GAGTAAAGAAGGAGGAGGAAGAGAGGAAGAAAAAGGAAGGAAGGAAGGAAGGAGGAAGGAAGAAAGGAGGAAGTAGAGAGGAAGGAAGGAAGGAAGGAAGGAAGGAAGGAAGGAAGGAAGGAAGGAAGGAAGGAAGGAAGGAAGGACTGAATAGAGAACATCGTCATCAATCACCTCAGGAGCAGCCAGAGTGAAGGGGCAGGAGAACCGCTGGGGTCACCTACCTCTGCTTGGTCTTCAGGCCCTTGGAGAGCCGGTCAAGGCGTGCACCAAACCCCGCGAAGCTTCTCTTCGTCTTGGTCTCAAAGACGTCGTTCTCCAAGGACGCCAGTTTGTTCAGGAGTAACATTTCGGCCACCAGGTCGGTCGTGGACTTCTCTGGCCTGGAAGGAGGAAGCCATCCTGGGCCGGGGCCGAGCACGGGGTCAAGGGGCTGCTGTGGCACGAAAAGAAGGTGGAGGGAGGGTCCCAACTAACAAAATCCATAGCAAGCAAGACCCCGAGGCAGGCAGGCTCCTCAAAGGATACTCTTTATTGGGAATTATCCTATCGGCACCTATCTGGGGAAAACCGACTCTGAAGTAGTCTCCCATGTCTTTCACCTCATGAAAAGTCAAAAGTTTCCCCACTTCCTCAAAACCATCAGTCACATCCCAGAAGGGGCTGGCAGCAGGGGTGGGATTCAAATTTTTTAACAACCGGTTCGGTGGGCGTGGCTTAGTTGGTGGACATGGCTTGGTGGTCATGTGACTGGCTGGGCATGGCCAACTCAACATCACTCACATTAAGGCAGGCATCTCCTCGCCTGGCCTCTCATGACTGTGGGGATGCTGCAACAGTCGTAAGTGTGAAAAACGGTCATAAGTCACTTTTTTCAGGGCCATTGTAACTTTAAATGGTCACACAAGCAAAGTGCCAGCAAAGGAGGGGAAAAAAACTCCAGAGAAGTTCCCGAGACAGGAAGTTTAGTCCTGCCAAGAATGTCATAAGGATTAACGGAGAGGCAGTTTCTGTAAGCAACACCAGAATGTTTCCTTCCTGCCTTCCTTGCAGGATTAGCCCAGTAATTTCTTCTAACAACCGGTTCTCTGAACTGCTTAGAATGTTAACAACCGGTTCTAGCAAATGGTGTGAACTGTTAGAATCCCACCCTTGGCTGGCAGCCTGGTGGCATCGCTCCGCCTTCTGACTGGGTGTGAGAAATGACCTTGGTTCTCAAGAGAAAAGATGTTGTTTTGGCTAAAGGTTCCCCTCCTGTTTTTTTTTAAAAAAATTAAATTGAAAATAAACATTAAAATATTGAATGTTGTGGTCTTCTTGGACAATACATTTCAGTCAAAACATTTTACATTATAGGAGATATATATATTTATACACACACACACACACACACATTTAAGCTTTATACCATTTTTGTTCTTCTTATACCTCATTTCTATTTCATCTTTAATTCTAATTTCAACTTTGTGTGCTCCCTTTCATGTCCCTCCACATGTAGAATTTGTTCCATAATTTGTAGTATTCTGATTTTTCTTCTTCTTTCAATTCTAGTGTCAAACTATCTAATTCAACGCATTGACAAATCTCCATCTCAGTTCTACCCTCAGCTCCAGTGTGGCAACACTTGAAGTGGTCAAAATGGCTTCCGTCAGGTCAGCTTCAGGGTTGACAAGATGGAGTGAAGGACCGTGGCTATGTAGGCATAAGGTCTCCAGGTCTCCCCCAGATCTCCACCCTAAAGAATCTATTTATTTATTTATTTATTTATTTATTTATTTGATTTGTCAATTGTTTACAAGATAATAAGTATAAGTGTATACATAGTTGTGAATACATGAGATGGGTACATATAAGAAAAATAAAAGAATAGAGAAACAATAGGACAGGGACGGTAGGCACGATGGTGCGCTTATGCACGCCCCCTACAGACCTCTTAGGAAAGGGGTGAGGTCAATAGTAGACAGTCTAAGGTTAAAGTTTTTGGGGTTTGGGGAAGAAACTACAGAGTCAGGTAGAGTATTCCAGACATTGACCACTCTATTGCTGAAGTCGTATTTCCTGCAATCAAGTTTGGTGCGGTTTACTTTGAGTTTGTATCTATTGTGTGCTCTTGTGTTGTTATGGTTGAAGCTGAAGTATTCATTGACAGGTAGGACATTGCAATGTATGCAATGTACCATGCTTAAGTCAGACCGAAGACGGCGTAATTCAAGGTTTTCTAGTTCTAGAATTTCAAGTCTGGTGGCATAAGGTATTCTGCAACGAGTAGAAGAGTGGAGAACTCTCCTTGTGAAATATTTCTGGACTTTCTCAATTGTGCTAATATCAGATACGTAATGAGGGTTCCAGACTGATGAACTGTATTCGAGTATTGGTCTAGCAAATGTTTTGTATGCTCTGGTTAGTAGTCTGGCAGGCTTCTCCTGGGAAAACACACAATACGTGGTTGTGGGAATTGGGTGCGCCCAGAAGTCTCCAAACCTGGCCACTTGTGAAGACTCGTGGACTTCAACCCCCAGAATTCCCCAGCCAGCAGAGTTTATCATTTGGAACTCCTGTGGGTGTTTTTTTGCTTCCTGCCACCTTCACCAAATGATGTTGACCCTGACGGAGGCCGGCAGGATGTCCGTCTTATTACATAGAACCAGACAGGAAACTTGACCAGGTGAGCTAATTCCACTTTATTGCAAAGCTGCGTGAACAAAATCGTGTAGATCTGAAAGTACAAACCTCCCACTGTCTTTTTTTTATAGCCTGAGAAAGTAGGGAGGGTTTCTTCTCAGCCTCTTGCTCCACCCATTATGCAAATGAGGACTCAGCTGTCTCTTTTCTGACTGTTTCCCTAAAGCTACATTAGCAAAATCCTGCAAGTCTGAAAGTACAAAACTCCCACCATCTCTTTGACAGCCTGAGAAAACAAGGAAGGTCCTTTCTAAGCCCCTCGCCCACCCATTATGCAGCTGAGGGCTCTGTGCTCCCTTATCTGACTGTTCTCTAAAGCTACCTTCCCAGAATCTTGCAGGTCTGAAAGTACGACCCTCCCCCCATCTCTTTTTTAAAGCCTGAGAAACCGGGGAGGGTCCCTTCTAAGCCTTCCTTCCCACCCTGGATGCAGCTGTGGGCTAACCTTCATCCCTGACTGAACGGTGGAAGGTGGGTTTATATTCCTTGTCTCTTATCTGACTTTTCCTTGAACCAACATTAATAGAATCTTGCAAGTCTGAAAGTGCAAATCTCCTCCCATCTCTTTTTTCGCCTGAGAAACTAGCAGAGCTGGCCAGAGAATTCTGGGAGTTGAAGTCCACAAGTCTTAAAGTTGCCAAGTTTGCCAAATTTGGAGAGCTCTGGTGTAAGGGTCTCCTGTTTGGATTGGGGGGGGGGTTGGACTAGATGACCTTCCAACTCTGTTAATCTGTATCTATCCCTGCAAGCAAAGCTGGCTGGAGAATTCTGGGAGTTGAAGTCCACAAATCTTAAAGTTGCCAAGTTTGGAGACCTTTGGCCTAAAGCTACATTGAGAGAATCTTGCACCTTTGAAAAGATGCATCTCTCACCATCTCTTTTTTGTCCTTTTTCAGCCTGATAAACTAGGGCGAGCCTCTTCGGAGCATCTCCACCCAATAGGCAGCTGTGGGCTCGGCTGCCTGTTATCTGTTTCGTGGAGTATCCGCCTTTGGATCTCTCACGCTTCCTCTTTGCGCTACTTTGCGTATTCAAGATGGACAGTGAGTCACATGGATGTATATTTATACGTAAGGGTGTAGGTATATGCATAGGTGTGTCTACAGCACGTATGTTTGTTATGTACGTGTACCCTTTCGAGAGCAGGCCACGGAATTTCATTTTTAACGTGAGCCGGTGTGTCCACGGTTAAAAAAATACACGACAATAAAGAGGATCTTACTCTTATCTGACTATTTTCAAGCTACATTCATAAAACTTTGGAAGTCTGAAAGTACAAATCTCCCACTGTCTTTTTTTACAGCCTGAGAAAGTAGGGAGGGCTTCTTCTCAGCCTCTTTTGTCCCCCACCCATTTTGCAACTGTGGGCTAAGCGGTTTCTTATCTGACTGTTCTTTAAATCTACATGAACAGAATCTGGCAAGTCTGAAAGTACAAACCTCCCACTGTTGTCCCCCCGCCCCCCACAGTCTCAGAAAGTAGGGAGAGTTTCGTCTGGGCCTCTTTCTCCATCCATTATGCAGCTGAGGGCTCACCTGCCTCCAATCGGTCCGTTCCAGGGCTGGGCTGCTGGGGGTTTGCAGGGGGAGAGCCCTAGCTAAGATGGGGTGCAGTTTGGAGAACCCCCAAATCCCATTCCTGGCTGGCCCTCCCCACCCCTCCCTGCCCCTCCCACAGGGCCCATTTTAGATGCAGGTGAGTGCAGGGTGTGTGCAGAGAATTGGGCGAAAAATGGGCCTCCTGGGGAAGTTTGGGGAGGCCGGAAATGGGTCTGTTTCCAGCCTCCAGAGATCCTCGGGAGCCCGGGGAGGGCAAAAACACTCCTCCCCCCCCCATGGTGCAGGAGGCAGACTAGGCCACGCCCACCATGGCCATGCCCACCCAGCAATTGGGTAGAGAACCCTTTGCTAAAATTTTTGAATCCCACCCCTTGCTACCTTCCTTTCCTCCCTCTCCCAAGGTCTTTCCCAATACACACACACGAACATAATCTGAAAACTCTGGAAAGTTTGACCAGGAACACATGAGGCCGCCCCAAGCAAGAAAGCCACAGGAGAGAGAAGGTCACCACCCAGTGATTTTGGCCAAGGACAGGCAGAGGGGCAGCTCCACCCCCATCCCTTACCTCTTGCATGCCCTGTGCCTGGTCGGCTCTCCTGGGCTGCCAGAGGAGCAGAAGGGTCAGGATGAGGAATCCTGCTGTCTGCTGACAGAGCTGCATCTGCAAAGGAAATGGGACTTTAAGTTTCTTCAATTTGCAGGAATTTGTTGTCAGGAGGGGGCTTTTCCCGGAGGGCACAAGATATTTTAGCATGCACAAAAAAGAAAAAGATAGAAAGATTAAACAGAATCTTCCTTCCTTTTTTTTTAAATACACTTTTTCTTAAAGTTTTGTTAAAGGTTTCTTTGGGGTAAAATCTTATGGGTTTTTTTCCCCCCTCTTTTTTGGAATTTGCATTTTAAATTTCTCAATAAAAAAAAATAAAGAAATTAAAAAAAAGATATATTAGCATGCAACGAAATTTCATCTTAATGAATGCCGATTAATGTACATTTAAAGTGACGATAAAGTTATTCTAAGTTCTTTTTTTAAATTTATTTTTTATCAATTTTCATTCATAAACATTTTTGAATAACAGTGCATTGGCAGAGCATTATTTACAAATAAAAAACCCAACCAACATACGTTGGTAATAAATCTCAACATACAAACTAATAGCAATAGTAATGGTATAATAACAGTACTAATAGTAT